AATAAACAAATTCAAGACATCTCTATGCAACAATAAAAAGCAGCAGCAGTAATGGATTCTCTGACTGGAAATTAAAATTCCATGAGTGTTTAATTTATTCAGCACATTAAGTATTATCCCAGCCTCAACGTCAACACTGACTAACTTTCATTTCACACCAACACATTACTCAACTACTATGCAGACTGAACTAAGCTTCAATGGTTAAGTCATCAGAATGATTCAAATATTTCTGAAAATGATTCAAGACAAACAGGTGCCAAATTTATAGGTTGTTGAGTTTATAGACAGTGATTACAACAACACTGCCTGCTGTTATTATTAACAGAGTTTAATAAAAAATGTGAGAGCAGTTTGTTTTTATCATGAATTTTGGGTCAAACAACAGGCAGCTGCATCAGCTCAACAAAGAGCAGGCAGAATAAGATCATATCTTTGTAGTTTCAAGGAGGGAAAACATGAATGTGATTATCCTGAAGAAAAATAAAAAAATCTGTCTCATTGCTCCCTGTCATCTTTGGGCTGTTTATCTGTGATTTCATCCCTTGAAAATGCACCACTAATTAACTCCAGGAAAACTGGGCTGAAACGACAGCAATTTCTCCCTAACAAAGCCATCAAATGATTTGTGTGTGTGTGTGTGTGTGTGTGTGTGTGTGTGAGAGAGTGAGTGAGTGAGTGAATTAGCGCTCACCAGGTGGATACCCAGGACTGCCTGTTTGATAGAGGTTGGGTGTATAGGTGGGAGCCGTGGCAGGATACCCTCCTGGATAGCCTGCCAACACATCACAGATGAGAGAGAAAATATTAAAAACCATAGCTTAAACACAGAACCACAGACCCCCCTGCCCCTCCTCAAACACACACACACACACACACACACACACTCCAGTACTTTGATTGGAGCAGGAAGTGCACAGACGGTGCTCATGGAAGAAAAAAAAAAATGTCTGCACCAATAACGCAGTCGACCGAATTGAGTCTTATATACACCAATCTGACAGACGCGACACACCTGCCAATATGGTGTGGGTGGAGATAAATTCAGAAACATTAGTAATCCACACAGACACGTGCAAGGGGGTGCACACACATACGCTTGTGCGTCATCAATTACATATCAAGCAAACTTGACCTGAAAAACACTTTCACCAATAAAAAGGTGCTAGCTCGGCAGAGTGACACAAACAAGGAGGAAGAGAGGAGAAAAGCAGGAGCACTGAGGTAAAGAACGCGAGTGAGCGCAGTGCTGCTCACTGCTTGCCATCATTGGTTAGTCTCTGTTCTGTAGCCTTGAGCCTTTGTTATATTATGTGCTGTCTGCCGTCTGCTGCGGCAGGTTGAGCTACAGTCAGATATAAAAACATATCTGCATCAATCTACACCGCAGCAGAGTTAAGGCTGTGACGGTTCCCCAGTCTCATGTAGGACTCTTATGTTTTCATCGCAATTCACAGTTAAATTCAACAATTGTGGGCATTTTCAGTACAGAAAAAATAAGTCCTGACCAATTTACAATTACAATTTATTCTAACATTATTATTATTAGCTTAAACCAACAGAAAATTACTTGAAACCCATTTTGATAATTGAAATAACTGTAAAGTGAGGATCTCTGGCAGTCTGAAAACAACTTGACTGTGAAACGGTGATGAATTAATTTACTGCACTAGTTTAAAAATGCTGAAGTATGATTTTGATCCTGAAAAGAAGTCACTTTTACATATTTTAGACAAGGAAACCCTGGAGTCTAATGCCAGGTCTGGCTCATGTAGAGTGTGTTTTCATTAGCAAAGTAACATATTTGGTAGCACACCATCATTTCATATCAACAGCTGCAGCACTGCATGGTTCAAAAGCTTTTGAACTAAATGTCTGGTGATTTGTTCAATTCATCATATGCACTGATCCAGAGCCTTGTATTAAATGATACAATAACACCAGATGTTGTTACAATCTCATAAAACGCAAATGACCATGATTTGCAAGGTGTTTACATTTGATAAGAGTTAAAGTGAGGGATGATTATGACTGTTTGCCCTTTTTATTATTTGGAAATACTAATCTGTATAAACCGAATCGCACCTAATCAACAGTCTGCACAATTTCTTTATCCTCATTGTACACCCATTTATGATTAGGTGGTGAAGAAGTGTAAATATTACTGTTAACATCCAACTGTTTTTAGTTATCTTGTATGTTGACCTAGATATCATTTAACATTCCTGAACTTGACCTTGAGTGTTGCACTGTTGGTGAGTCTCCAGCAGAATGAACTCAGGGTAACAGGTCACCATGTGTAATGTTGCCTGCCAGTTCAATGCAATGATATAATATATATAATAACATATATAGTTCAGTTTTGCTGTATTCACTTTTCTGCTTCAATTGTTGAAAGCCTCCAGAGCCGTGAAGAGGGTACACACAGAATGGGAATCTGAGTGGAGAGTCCATCACTCCAAGACCAATTTAAAGATAAAAATACATGAACAACTCTAGTATAACCTATTTCTGAAGGTGATTACGACCAAGTGGGTTTCATTATTGCCCTTCTCTACTACAATACTGCAGGTGAACGGTGGCTCACAGTCTGTAGTCAACAGATACTGGGCCTCATTTTCTTGTGTTCAGTAGAAATAATTTACTATCAGTTTTGCAGAGGTCAAATTAGCATTCAAAGTATTTCATCACTTTAAAAAATGTGTACTTGTTGCATACCTTCACTTCAGTGGGCATACGGTATAAGAGAGGGCCTGTTTACTGGCATTCATTTCCGACATCCGTTTCCTTGCAAATATAATCTAAACGGGAGTGAAAGCACCTAACTGTAAGCTACACCAGTGCTCTCATTTGACTGCAACTCTTAAAAGTCACGCAACTCAATATTATTCTTTCCTGCAGTCACCTTTGACCTGCAGGTCCAACTCTGCTCTTTCGTAAAAAGCCGACAACTTATTCAGACATAAAAAAAAAAAAAAAAAAAAAAACTTGTGTTCAGAGCTTATAACAGAAAGTAGCTAGTAAAATGGCTTCACGGGTTAGTCAAATTATCTCAGCTTCATGCTTCTGCATCAGGTTAACTAGATACCACAAGTGACAAAAGAAACAAACTGTCTTCTGTGGCATATTACAGTAAGGTATAACAGAGCTAACTAGCTTACAAGGATATCAAAATGTGGAGCAGCAACACAAAATGCACAGCAGCAGGAGGGTTTGTTTCTCTGGCTTTGAGTACGTCTTCTATACTGTGAGCTTCTCCTTCATGATGAGCTGTTCTTTCCTGTCAAACCTTGGCCTCAGCAGCAGGCGGCTGCTGTTCAGAGTCCACAATGGTCAGAGTAATGTGCAATAAATAGTGGCATCTTCATGTCATCGTCCAGCTTCACCGTCCTGCTGTGTTCCTCCTGCTGGGGACTAAGGCCCCTCTGTTACTCAGACACTCCACCACTGACTCTGTTCTTGCAGAACGCTTGATTTCTTTATCCCAGTCAAGCAAATACATCACTAACCTAAGTCATAAAGTCACAATTCTGGGTCATCAAGTGGTTTTGAACAATTCAGACCATTTTGATAAAATGTCAAAGTCACATGTTTCTGTCCCTATTTTAACTACTGGAGTAAGTTTTCTACAATGTAAAAAAAAAAGGTGAAATTAGCTAGACTATAGCCCATTTATAAAGTGAACAAGCTGTCCCACTGACTTTAATACGATCACAAAGGCTTCATAATTTTCCAGCATCTGATTTTCATAGAACATTTGACAGCATCAAGAGGCTATTATCAGAACAGGCCTTAAGGTATTTTTTCCCTCACTGGATTATTATAGAGGACGTTAAATGTGTACATGCATGGTTGTCTTACCTGTAAAGGTCACATTCTTGGCATTTCCATATGGGGTGCCAGGCTGAACGGGGCTGTAGACTGGATTCATAGCTGAAGATAACCTGTTCTTACTAACAGAGAGAGGAACAGAAGGTGCGACAAAGGGGAAGGGGGAAGAGAAGACAGGGAAAAAAATGAAGGAGAGAGATGTAAGCCATGTAAATTGGAAAGAAAATTGTTACGATTATCAAGCACACGCACACACTCATCGCACACATAATCCCAAACTCTTGATTCTTAAGGCGACATCCAGCTGAAGGATTCTGCCGGCATGCAAAAAAAAAAAAATAAAATAAAATCAAGCCCTGTGAATCCTCACCTTCAAGTAGGCAACATAAGCATGGATGTTGCGGGGAAAAAGAAAATAATAATAATAAAGGTAGATGTACTGACAGAAAGGCACAAGAACTCATAGATCCACTGAAAATAATGGCTTTGTTTCCTAAGTGGCAGTAACCACTAGAAAAAAATGCTGCACATCTGTCCGATTTTCACTACTGTGCCAAAACAAAAATAAAAAATAGAAAAGAAAAAAAAAAAGGACAAGGCAAGCTCTACCCGCCTGGTTTCCACTACTGAGGTACTGAACAGAGTGGCGGCCAATAAAAGTTTAAAATGCTGGAAATGGTTGGGATGACGCTGCCTAATAAAAGAACCCTTTACACCACCCCTTCCATAAGGCATCTTCTTCCACCAGTCAAACGATGTTAATGAAAAACCTCAAGTCCCCCTCTATTATCTAAACTTACCGGGTCAATGAGAATATGGGCATGGGAGGGAGTGTATATGTGTGTGGTTGAGTGTGTGTGCATGCGTGCCCCGTACCTCTTGTGCGTGTCTGGTTGATACATGAAACTGAATTTGTCTGTGGGATGCCCGCTCGCCATTCTTGCTGTATGCAAATGAGGAAGAAGTGGAAGTGGATATGCAAATCTGAAATTAAAACAGCGAGAGGTCATGATTACAATGAACAGAGGAAAAAGGGGGGGAAAAAATAAACTGCATAAAAAGCAAGCACAAGTCAGTGCAACAGCAAATGGTTAGTGACAACCGCACGGGAGACAGTGATTTGGACAGTGTGTGAGTGAGTGTTTGTGCCAACAGTTGTCTTTAGCCACCAATAAATGCATTTAACAACTGATATACAAATCTTTGCACTGTATTTATTTAAATACAATACCATTCTGTGCAAAGCATATCTGATATCATCTACAGTGTATGTGACAAGATGTATTCTAGCTATATTTACTGATAAAACAGACTTGGTGGCATTTAATTTATTTCTGCATATGGAGGTGTGTGTATGTAAAAGTGACAGTGAAGCATGAGTGTGCATATATCTTTATGTGATGTACTGGCCAATACAAGCAGAAAAGCAAACATCAAGACAGCCAATGGGGGGGGGGGGAAAAAAAAAAAAAAAAAAAGCACAGCACAGCCAGCAAGCAGGCAAGTGACGGAGCAAAACAACAGGACAGTACAAAATGCAGCACTAAGTTTTGCACTGAGCCATGAGTAAGCATGATCCAAGTATACACACGAGCCAGAACCACAAGAACACTGCACAGAGACAGAGCAGAACAGCTGAGGAATAAATTGAGAGGAAAGATATGAGCTCAGTGTTGTAAGTTCATGTGTATCTTGTGTTGATTTTTACTCCCGTTTGCGAAGGAGACAGCAGCGTTCAGGCTACTTCTGCCCGGCTTTCAGTGTGGCCCCGTCATGTGCTTACGTAGAAGACTGTGTGAAATACGCTTTGGCAAGTTCTCTGTACAAATCGCATCCACCCATTCACCATGTACAAACCATCATCCTGCTTCTTTCAGAAATGTGCATTTATGGATTTGTTCATACCAAAAGGCATTTCCAACATCAATCTGAACCATTCCATCCTGGGCTTGTGTTTCTTAGCCAGTTAAACACTTCAGATTATTACAGTCTCACTGTCACAATGCCTGGGTACACACTGCATGGTGGTGATGCCAAGCGGCACTAAGTGACACTTCACATTAGGGAATGAAGCGTTTCAATGCTCCGTCCAGGAACACCGACGTCAGAACGCCCAGACACCTGACAACTCAATGTGAGCACAAACACGTGGGTGCAGTTGCTTTTCACTTGTTTTATGCACAAATTCCTTAAAACATGCCCTGAAAATGAACAAAAACACAAACCTGCATATGTCTGCGAGTTTGTAAAACAAAGAACATTAAGTCAACTCTGGTTTATTACTCAAGATCATCATCTCGTAAGAAAAGAATGCCCAGGGGGAACTGCCGAATCCTGAAAACATCTCTCAGGGCATTCCTCATTATTCTACCACATCTCCTCTGCTTCAGTTCCTTCCTCTAGCATTACTCCGGCTCCCACTTTTTCATTCCTCTCTGCTACTTTTCGTTTGTCATTGGCTTTTCTACATCAGTAAATCAGTCTCCACATGCAAACTAACAAACAAGAATAAAAAAGCACCGACTACTGGGGAAAAAAGCTTGAAAATACCCAGTTTTAACGTGATCTGCAATTACCTGTGTGAGAACCATTGTACCAAAACAAGGCTATGGCCCCATTTACACTTGTAACTAACAAGCTTGCATCGTGATCGTATTTCAATACAGAAATTACTGAGGTGAGCTGGTGGATCTGTCCCATGTTAAAAGAAGCAACGCGATAAAAGTTTATACTAAATTAGTGTGCAACGTTCCAAAGCAACTGACCGCCTAACCAACATCATGTCCAGAGCCAATGCCACAAATATATCTAGACTTTTTAAAATAGTTTATTTAAATCCCCACTTATCATTCAGCAAAATGCACCGATTGCAACTTTCTTAACCCGTTGATTGATTTTCTTAGAACTCCAATTGAAGCACACAAACATTTTTGTATCTTTGCTTTAATACAATGTTTTATTTTTTCATCTTTCACTCACTTTTTTCCAAAGCTCCAACTACAAATGGAAGTGCAATATTTGTACATCTCCAAATATAAAAGGGCAAGCCTCACTCAAGGTGCAGGTGGGATGCGATTTCAGTCTGTGTCACTGTGTGCTCGACGTTGTGCCTCTAAATCTGACAGGCACAGAATTAGAAATCTCAGAGTGATCAGCCGGTCACTGGTCAAGGCCCAACATGCTGAAAACCAGCCATTTCTGATCTCCGCCAATTGACTGGTACATCTCTAGAAGAAACCATGACAATTAAACAACTAGTCTATTTAGTTGTTTAATAGGCTCCAAAAGCACAAGAGACAACTATGAAACAGAATAACTAAATCAAAGTTACAACGATCCATGTGAGAGCTTTAAATAAGATTACCAAAAACAAAAAAAAAAGGATTTTACTTTTAACTCAGGGCCAGGTGGCTGTGCTAACCCTGAGGTCTTATGTTGTGAACAAACAGACATACCCAATCACATCTGTGCCTGTACAAAATAAAGGAGAGACAGGTTTAAGCCTGAGAAACTGTGTGTGCGTGCGTGTGTAGTCAGGTGATTAAAAAAAAAATGGGTCAGAACAAGCGGGGCACCACAATGCGTCTAATGAAGGTGTGTGTGTGAGGAAACAGGTGACTGCAGAAATGCATGTGATGAGTGTGTAAACACAACTCCTTTGTTTTCAGGAGGACAGGATGAGGCACGCCAGGCTCTCCATCCCTAAAAAAAAAAAAGGCAGAAGACCTTGTACAGACCACTATCAATGAGCATTAAAGACCATTCTCCAGAAAATGTTCACCATAAAGGAAGAGAGAAATGGTGAGAAACTGTACATTTATTTGCATGACAGAGCATAAAAGGAGCTGAGACGACCTTTACAGTGTTTAAGGAAAACAGAGAACAAGCTAAAAATGATATGATATTGTTGGCTGGCTGAAAATACAGACAAAGACTAACAAATAACTGCTTTTGGGCGCCTGGAGCAGAGGGTTTGGGTCGTCTGCTCATAAATAAGTGTACGTAAATAAGAAAACAGTGAAGACTCGATTTTTCACAATCCTGTTTTCTCAGAACCCTTTAAGTGTCTTGTTTTGTCCAAACAACACTCTCCCAGACAAAAAAAAAATTCAATTTACATAAAACAAAGCATGGCAACTCGCTTTATAAGATCGATCAGTGAGGATTTTGAGACAAAGAAACAAACAAAAAAACCAACAACAGCAGTGTGCAAGTCTTCTCAATTCTTTAGCCATCTTTTCTGTCTTCTCTCCTGACTTCAAAGACAGCAGGGCTACCTGCAGTGTGGGATCCTTCCATGAATCAAAGGACTGCAGCTTCAGGGGACTCTGGCAGTGATGATGAAACTGCACAAGGGATGTGAAGTGTTTTCACTCATCTGCTGACAGCTATTACAGTTCTCTGGAGGTTATGATAATCAAAGCAGTAACCATGTCACCACATGCTTGGCTCTAGCCTCCAATACTCCCCATAATGTTTATTGCAATTCTGATTTGACTAGCGCACTACTTTCAGTGGTTGGCTTATTACTAGACTACTGTTCAAATTAATTTTATTCCGCACTTAAAAAAAAGACAAGCCTTTAGTTTTATGAAAAGATGAAAAATGTTTTTGTCTAAACTTGCCCACTCATCCATTAGGGGTGCAACGACTGATCAAACCCCAAGATCCAATGACATTGATTTAAAATGTAAATATTGATGTTTTGTATGCTTTTATTTTGACAGCCCACCACATACGTACACATTTCCGGTGAAGTGCTGTTCTTGTCAAACTGGACAACATGTACCAGGTGGTACAGATAGCACTCTCAGACTGGGAATTCACACTATACGGGGCTTTTAGGGACGTGTCTCACATACGCCTCTGAGTCGGTGTGTACTGACACATTGTTACGTGAGAGGGGAAAGTGACAAAACACTTTCTATGAGGATTTGCCTTGACCTATAGCAGGCAAGAAAATTACACAGATTAAGTAAACTCTCCCATCATAAACAAGTCATGAGTATGGAAGTATTCTGGATTAAAAGCACACAGACAACAGTAAGGCCTGAGTGTTATGTTTTAAACTGGCCCCGAGGATGTGGGAAATGAATTTTCCAGCTTTTTTTGTATGTGTGACAATGTAAATGCTTCCCATCTCAAAAACGTTTGCTGAATTAGAAGGTCAGCATTGGTCCTTATTTGTATTTAAATAGCACTTGAAAGTGAAAATTACACTTGTTACATTTTAATTAATAAAAGCATAATTGTGTGAAATAGGCAATTGCTATTGATCTCAGGCCCCTGAATTGAAATGAAATCGCATCGTGGCATATTTTTAAGTATCGGTAAACACGGTATCACTAGCAAAGAGAATCGATATAGGGTCGCACTGTGATGAGAGTGGCGATTTACAGTCCACACAGACATGGCATGAAACTAGGGGTGGAAACAATAGTTTTCATTATAGATTTTTCATATTAGATTAATCTGAATTTATCTCAGTGAATTTACCTACTAGTTTTAATTTTAAATGTGATAAAAACCAGAGGATGCCAATTTTAATTTACCAAAACCTGACATTCAAATATTCAAAGCAGCAAATATTTGCCCTTTCGCTTGAAACAATTAGGTCAGTAACAAAATAATTTCTAATTGTTTCTCTAGTGTCTCATTTCAGCTATGACTGCAAACCATAATACTGACATCAGACTGTACTAGGAGCTCACCCTCTGTCTCAAATGCAAACAGAGCAGAATTCACTCACTAAGGACCAACAATACCAAGGAGACTCCCTGGTTTAACAAGAGTTCTCTTTTAGGATTTTGTTAAGCTTAAACTCTATTAAATGAGACTTCACTTGGGTTGAACTCAGAAGCTCTAGCCTCAAGGCCTAGGTACATAAACATAACTCGGTAGCATGTATGCTAACAGAGCTACAGTACGTGTGTGTGTGTGTGTGTGTGTGTAACATTTTGTGTAACCGCAGATCCTTCAGTGTT